AGAATCAAAGGAAGGCAGGCAGGCAGCTTTGATTGACATTCTTCTGGACGTGTTTAATTGTGGTGATAGTGAGGGTAGTGAATCCCTTGTTTAGCAAGACAGTAGTGACGGCCATCTTGGTGACGTGTGTTGTTGTGTGGGATCAGAGAGGTAGTTCATTGAGCGTTTCACACAAAAAAAATTTGTTACTTCACAGTTTGATGACACATTTTTATTTTTTTGACTTGCAAAATTATCTTTTAAATTGACAAACATCATATGTGTGATTCGTGGCACAATTCAAACGGGATCGAAAGATCATCTTTCTCTCTCCATTGACTTCAATACATAATTTTTCCAAAATAATGGAGCTCCCCCAGAATGGGAGGGACTTTGCCACTCTATTATTGACAACAGAAAGCATAGCCCTCCCTGAGAGCTCCTGAATATGATTAACGATTGTCTTCGGTGAGAGGGTCAAATTAGCAACCCTTTGATTTCAGACGTGCTTTGTTTGTCAAGTTGCAATTCACCTTGTGGCACCTCACTCTCCCACAAATATATCCATATAGAAGCAATCTCCATCAGCGATCAACAAAATCAAACAAGGCTAAAATGTCAACGTAAAGTCGAGATTGCGGAGTTAAACAGATATTTTTAACATTTCCTCATCTGTGTCAAACGACCAGTCAGCTGATATTTTCTATTTTTGAACCAAGTATACATTTTTCATAAGGTAGATCTATACATCATTCCATATCATTTACATTCAGTCAAAGTTTGTTTGTCTTTGATAACCCTCTTTATAGTTTGAGTGACATGGATTGGGTTGCTCTCCAAACAAATGCACTACAAACTGTTTCCTCAGTGTATGCCACTTTTTTTGACGAATGCTACAATGTTTCCTCCTCATCCTCAGCTGTCGCAGTCGTAATAACAACAGGCAGATTTTCCTTTAGCGAGATATCATCCACCTGCTTGGGCCCGCTGTCCTCCGGTTCTTCAGGTATGGATGGGTCCGAGTTACTGATCACGTACCCGGGGAGGGTGGCATGCATGCCGATCACAGTGGGATCCGTGCTCCGATAAACACGGCTTGAAACCAGCGTGGTAGAGCGTGTGGAAAGTCCCGCCCCCGCCAGGTGGGAGTGGCTGCTGGTGCTGTTGTTGTTGATGCCGACAACTACGGAGCCGTAACGATAGCGACCACAGACCACCGGGCCCTCCCACTCAAAGGCAAGGTTCCAGCGTGTCCATGTTTTCTTTATTTCTGCCTGGACCTGTGGGATGGGAAGATAGAATACTAGAATGTATGATAGAGCATTATACAGTATGTTGTCATAAACTGGAGCAAGGGTCATATCATGGTTTATCATACTGTCTGTGCTTATTAGCTTTTATTTGTGCTCATGTATGTGATTTTGTGTCTGTTAATGGGTTTGTAGGCAAGGGCTTTTAACTGGGTGTATGTACTTTATATGTGCTGTGAGTCAATTGTTCTTATGTGTTTTTATTCTGCTCATGTCCTTTTGCCTGTGCTTTCTGTTCTTATCTGCTCTTGTAGATACACCGTTATTTCTAAACCCCAAAAGCACGAAAAGGGTTGCTTTTCTCAATTATTTAATTTGTTTTACGTTTTCTTTGGTGCAATGTAATCCATTTTGTTCTATTGCTGTTTCCTTTGTAGTTTAATTTTAGTTAATTGTGATTTTGTCTGTGATTGCACAGTGACTTTCTCTTAGTTTGTGAAGGACTTAACAAAAAAAGACAAAAAAGTAGTTTTGGTGCCATATAAATGAAGTAGTGATTAAAATTAAGTCTTAAATCACTTGCCTTCTAGGTCTTCCCCAACAATTGCAATGTTTTGAACTTGTGTTTGTCTTCACACAGAACCATATGTATAGAAACGCAACCATTCATATTATAGCAGGTAGCAAACACTAGCTTGATCTTTTTTGCTGGACACAGCTGCCTACTGTTATTTATCCGCAGGTTTGTGAAATGCTAACTTTGAATTGTACCCTCTGCGTGGGCTGAATGACTAAAACAATCCATTAACAGAGTAGAGTTGCAGAGTAGGGTGTTATTTGTCAGTATAAGCTGAGACCATTTCACATTACATGAGTCATTTGGTCCAGTGATAATAACAAAATGATATTTTATGGAGCTCAAAACAAAAAAAGACATCTCTTCCATTTTGAATTAAAAACAGAGGGTTTGCCAAAGTGCTTCACAATGAACATAACATTATAATAAAATATAATATTACAAGAATAGATAAAAGGCATACATAAGAATAGATAAAAGGCACACATAAGAATAGATAAATATAATAAAAAACTGAAGTTTTGTGAAGATAAAACCAGCAGTCTATTCTTATTGCAAATTGCAAGCTCTACGTTTTATTTAAACTAAAGTGTAATCAAAGCACTTGATTCGCTTTAGTTTCTCAGTATTTTGGGTTTTACTTTGTGAACAGATGCATTTGGAAAAAATCGATTCACTCACCTCTCCGTTGCAGTAGCAATAGATAATGGACACAAAGAAACCCTGAAAGGGAGAGATTGAATTACAAATTGGGAGCTCAGATGTCAGTGGAAGCAAGTGAGAAGAAATGTCACGTACAGATTATCACTACAGTTGACCAAATGTCATTCTTACAATTCACTATCTATTATCCATCAAAGATGATAAGTAGGGTAAAGGGCACCAACTATGTATTCGCTTCAAACAGTGCTTATCTTATTTAAAAAATAAGAAGACAGAAATGTTAGCTCCTTTGGCTGTGGCTGTTTTGACGTCTTTCACCTTGTGTTCCTGCCTCCAAGCACGATAAGAAGTTAAAGGAGAGAAATGGTGTCTTTGTGACAATGATGGGTTATGGGAAGGTGTGTGCCCGTGAGGTTTTAATTTGGTGTGTAACTGCCAGAGGTGGGACCAAGTCATTGTTTTGCAAGTCTGAGTCAAGTCTCAAGTCTTTGCGCTCAAGTCCGGGACTTGAGCGCAAAGACTTGAGACTTGACTCAGACTTGCAAAACAATGACTTGGTCCCACCTCTGGCAGTTACACACCAAATTAAAACCTCACGGGCANGTGTGTGTGTGTGTGTGTGTGTGTGTGTGTGTGTGTGTGTGTGTGTGTGTGTGTGTGTGTGTGTGCAAATTTAAGTGTTTAATGTGACATAAGTGTGCAAATGTGTGTGCGTTGCCGCCACAGACGATGTACAGGCCCCTTGTGAGAGTCTGTTACATGCTAATAGCTCTGTACCATGCCAGACACTCTTTTACACACACAATCACACACAAACACATACACAGACAGAGGCCTCCGACCTCCCACCTCTTCACCACATGGGACCCCGTAAATCACTTGCAGGCAAGGCTAATTTCTTAAGACCAGATCTCCCCCATTACTTTCCTCCAGACACCCTTAAAAAACACACACACACACACACACACACACACACACACACACACACACACACACACACACACACACACACACACACACACACACACACACACACATACAATTTCATCCGTCTTCACCCTTCCTGCATTCTTCATCACTAGAGGAATGTACCTCCCTCCATTCAGATTTGAAGCACATGCCACATATATTATTAATGTTAATAATTACAACAATAATAAAATAATATGTCTTTTTTTACGTGCTCTCAGTTGCATTTACACAAGTGTCTGTCAGTCATTTTCAATCAGAATGAATCAAGAAGCTGCAGCAGCACACCTCCAGGCAACAGCCAATCAATCATCAGTGAAATCAGCTGGTCTGGGGCTAGTCTGAATGAAAACAGCAGGATGTAAAGCTAAAGAAAATAAATATCAACAAATAAATGTGTTGATAAATATCAACAAAAGAAAAATGAAGGAATCTGTGTTTTTTTGGATAATGAAATGGAGACACACATCTCGCTTTTTATGAATGCAAAACACGCATTTAGTTCAACGTAATTTAAAGCAGCGGTAGTTACTTCACTTGAACTTAAGGGACATTTTGAATCTGGTAAAGGTATTTTTACAAAGCTGTATTGCATATTTTACTTAAGTATAATATAAGATAAAGCTTTATTGATACTGGATATAGATTTGAGTATTTTTTTCACCACCGAAAGAAATATACACAATGCAGTAAAAGGACAATTAGTGAACAGATGCAGCGGGAATAACAACAAATATGGGTATTGCAAAACATGATATAAGTGATAGAGAGTGCTGCATTGAAAAGTCCACATCTTTAACATCTGTGGAAAAGTTCCTTTTTAAGGAAACCTTCACTTTACACTGGGAGAGAGACGACAGGAAAAATATATTTAGAGCAGAAACAGAGATGCTATATTTAACTGCTGTGAGGAACACATAAGAGTTAGAAAGAAATGAATGAGAGTCATACATGAATGCATGCATCCTCGGGACTTAAACAGACACACAAACATGTACATTTATAACATAGTACTTCAAGTAATTTACCAAAGGTTCTTTCAGAGGGTTATATTATATATCATTGTATTTGAATATAATCACTGATGCTTTTTATGTAAGCAGCATTTTAGGGAGGTGGAACAAATAAACTACTTTATGTATGCTCCTGTTTGATAGTTCAATGTATAGCTCTGTGTCATATTTCATAAATCACCACATGTTTTGTCTGTAAAATCTGAATCCAAATGTGACAGTTGTTGCACCTGTGAAATAAATCTAGAGAAGCAGATGTACCATATAATTAAGGATTACACAGAACCACAAAGAAAAAAAACTTGATTCTGCAAACATGAGGAGGCTTGTCAGAAGATGTAACAAAATCCTTGAGGAATGAGGGTAAAATAAGACAATTGTAAAACATAGTTGACTGTGACAGCTACAAATTGAAGCTTCTTTGTGCGCTGACATGTTGAAAAATGCTGTGTGAAGCCAAAGACTGTAACTGAGCAGGCAGGTGGAGATCACTACAGTTTATATCTGTGTCAGCAGCAATAGACTTTATGCTGGTTTGATAGTGTGATCAGTTTTACATTCCACTCATGGTTTGTTCCAACTGGTTAATGTGGCATTCAGCCAGGAATGAACCATATATATGGGAACAGAGCTGAATCCTGGCGGCGAGGTCACCCAACGCCCGCACATTGGACAGCTGCAGGATGCCTGGCATATCATTTACAACAATCTATATTATTTAAAAAAAGATATGCATGAAAGATTCTCCAGAAGGCACCGTAAGCAATGCCCAGAGATCAAACTTAGGGACTCATAATTAGCTGAGGTCACGCCTATCAGACAGCTAGCGGCTAGCTGCTTGTGAGAACATAAAAGCGGCTACGTCCTTATGCATAACGTTTTATAAAGTGATCCCCCTGTACAGTTGTCATCAACAGGATGTTAGCTATAAAGATTAAAAACACTTTTTTGTACCAGACTGTTAACATGTTCATTTCTGCTGTTAGGCATTTTAACATGGGGGTCTATGGGAATTGACTCACTTTTGGAACCAGTCTCAAGTGGTAATTGAAGGAACTGCAGTTGGTTGAACTTCTGCGCTAACTTCATTTTTCAGCCGGAAGGTTTCCGCTTCCTTTCTCACAGTTTTGCATTTTAAGATTGAATGATTGAGCATTTTATATATTAAGCTTACGATAAATGTAAATACATTTCAAAAATAATTAACACACAGATGAGATATAGTTGGATAAACATAACAAGGAGGAGAAGAGGCTAATGTCATTTGATTTAATTCTTGTAGGTTTCTTTAAAAAATAACTTTGCACTCTTTTTTAAATGAGTGATTCAAAGAGGAGGACATGGGGTTAGAGTAAGGGTTAGAGAGTTAATAGACAGGAAATGATGACATATAAACCAAGATTATACTTTTTTTTAAAGACACGTGACCTTGGAGAAAAAAAATGGCGTGTGTGTGTGTTGTACAGTTGAAGACCTGGTTTCTCCATCCCTGCGTGTTAGGCCTGGTTGCTTGGTGACTCTGTTGGTTCTGGCATCAGGACCAGAGAGTTTTTTACAACATGGATCAGGACTGCAAACTACTTACACTGACAGCGTGTTCCTGCTCATGCTGTTGGTTTGAATCCTTGTCACAGGGGCAGCTGATCTTGATTCAGTTTATTTATTTAATTTCAGGATTTTACCATGAAGAAGTCCTACAGAGAGAATAATTAAACAAGCTAATGAACAGACTGGATCTGTAAAATAGTTTTTCCACATTAGACATATTTTTAAAGATGATTTGAAAATATTTTAAATGGAAAGTTTGGATGTTTTGAGTATGGAGGGTTTAAGTACACGCTTGGAGAAAAAGGCAGACCTAAAGCAATATACTACCTTGGACCGAGGTATCAGCAAAACGTATTTTAGCCACCTTTAAAAAAAAGTATACATATGTTATATTTAGATTATTTTCACCACTTTACATACTGCCTGACTGCCCTTTCTGATAGAACAGAAGAATGTGCCTATGCTGGGTTTAAAAGCACCAGACATAGAAACAGACAGTAATTTTTAAAGAGTTGCTGGTTCACCTTTGCCTCAATCGGTCAGTTTGTATTGTGAATTTGGTTGCTTCAGTTTCACAAAAGGTACACAATAAGAGAAACTAATTTAGCGATTAAGGCAGGGGTAGACCAGCAACTAATTTCTCAATGGAGTCTGGTGCTTTTGAACAGAGCTAGTTAAAAAAAAGTTTTTGATCGCTTCAGTTCACTGTTGGAAACATTGACTGTATAGCTGTCTCACTACGGTAAAGTAGTGAAATATTTAAAACAATAGCTACGACTTCACTGATATTGTTTTTTTAAGTGGTTAATTAATGCTTCTTCTCCATCCACTGCACTAAGACGCCTCAAAACATCCAAACTATCCTTTTGATAGTTTATTTAAAGCTCACGAACATTTAGACAAACAGAATAGTGATGCTGTTGTTTTATTTCAACCAAACTAACAGGAACCACATGAAAGCATCTGAGCAGATGGCATCCAGACTGTGTGTGTGTGTGAGCTTTGTTACTGTTTACTTACATACAGCATTTTTATGTGCAGCTGCAGCATGTGTACCTCTGAATGAAAACAAAACAGGACAGGATTTATTTACAGTTATCGCCTGTTCTTCATCAGCGATTTACCTTTTTAACTTTGCGCCACACTTTGATGTTTTCTTTTTCTCTTCATCATAATACAGGGAATAAACCAGTGGTCATAAACCTATACAATAATATTTTTTCTTTGAAGTTTTATTTAATGCAGATGAAATGTCAGACGCAGTCGGCCATATCTACAACCATTATTATTCATCATGCAACACAACGTCTTTAGACGTCTTTGTTTTGAACTATAGCAGCTACATGTCAAATAAAGAACAATAAACTGTATTCATGCATTATGTATTTTATGCATTGGAAGCAAAAGTCATTCACAAACCTGTATGATCTCATTCACTATCTTAAAAAGTTGAAGATCGATGAAGATCAGAGGATGACAGAATTAATTTTAAATACTGATGGATTAAAAGGGACTTCTTATGCTCATTTT